CTCCTCCTCCTCCTCCTCCTCCTCCTCCTCCGTCCTCCTCCTCCTCCTCCTCCTCCTCCTCCTCCTCCTCCTCCTCCTCCTCCTCCTCCTCCTCGTCCTCCTCCTCCTCCTCCTCCTCCTCCTCCTCCTCCGTCCTCCTCCTCCTCCTCCTCCTCCTCCTCACTCCTCGTCGTCCTCCCTCCTCCCCTCCGGCTTCCTCCGCTCTCCGCCTCCGCCTCTTCCTCCTCCTCCTCCTCCTCCTCCTCCTCCCTCCTCTCCTCCTCCCTCCCCCTCCTCCTCCTCCTCCTCCTCCTCCTCCTCCTCCTCCTCCTGCTCATCCTCTCCTCTTCGTCCTCATAGTGTTATAATTCCTCCTCCTCCTCATTCCCCTCATTCTCATCCTTTTTCCCTCCTCCTCCTCCTCCTCCTCCTTCTCCTGCTCCACCTCCTCCTCCTCCTACTCCTCCTCCTCCTCCTCCTCCTCCTCCTCCTCTCTTTATCATGTTCGTAGTATCCTTCTTCCTCCCCTTCCTCCTCTTCTTCCCCACCCCTTTCTCCTCCTCCTGCGTCCTCCTCCTCCTCCTCCTCATCCTTCTCTTCCATACCTTTCCTCCTACTCCTCCCTGTCGCACCCCCACATGTGTTGGCAGGGCGGGCCGAGCGTTTCGCCGCAAACTCCCTCGCCACTTGTAATCCTGAAGCTTGACATCTGCAACAATTCCATGGCTGGACGGCGGGCCGTTTACAACATGAGGCTCTGGCATCAGCACCGAGCGCATTCGACTTGAACATTTGCATCAGGTTCATATGCGGTGGAGGTTGGGTAGTTTTCAAAGTTGGTTTGAGGTCGCAGTTCAAGTCGCAGGTGGTGTGACACAGTCATCCTCGACTTGACTTGAACAGGCGACTGACTTGAAGGGTAGTTCCACTCGGCATTTCAACTCAAGCTGCATCAGTTTACATCACAGCTGTGGAGGCTGGGTAGTTTCAAAAGTTTGCTCTTGCCTCAGCGCGGCGAGCATTCACCTTGAAAGTTTGCAGCCGTCTGATATGTGAAGGGCGGGCAGTTTGCAACAGTAGGCTCTGGCACTAGCGCACTGCGCACTCGTCCTGAAAGTTTGCATCGGCTCCACAGATGGAGGGCGGGTGGTGTTCAACATGTGGTTCTCGCCGTAGCGCCGCGCCCATTCGTTCTGAAAGGTTACAGCTGTTTGAAGGGTTCCCAAGCTTGACGCCCAAGGAATGATGTACTGGCACGGTTTAGGACTGCCCAGACGCAACATTCATGTCGATTCGTGATGTTGAAGTCCCCAGGATCATCACATTCATGCACGATGTAAGTTTGCCAGGACGCTACAGTCAAGTTGATTCGAGGCGTTGGATTCCCAGGAAGAGTGTTTTGACACGAGTTGGTGGTCTTTGACCGTTGTTGTTCAATCGGGCACTTCCCGCAATGAAGATACATTCTTGTTGGGGTATGCGAAGTGGGAACTTGAAGGGTGGTTCACTGCAACGTCGATGATGCGTCTTCGGTTTAAACTGGTCCTCTCTCCTCGACTTCGTCCCTCTCTCCTAGCACCCCTCGCCCCCTTAGTCCATCGCCATCTCCGCCAAATCCTTAACTCATCTTCTTCCGTTGTCGGTCTCCTTCTCTTTTCTTATTGTCCTCCTCCTCCTCCTCCTACCTCATCCTCATTGTCTACCTCCTCCGCCTCCTCCTCTTTCTCCACACCCTCCTCCTCCGACTTCTCCCCCGGATCCTTCCTCGGCAGGATTTCTCCTCCGCCCTCGGATCTCCGCCCTCTCGGCCTCCTCCTCTATCGCCGCCACCATGCCACCGGGCACGACATGGAGTGTTCCAAAAGCCCCTTCGACCATTCGGAATGTCATCTTGTGAATCCTCTTTAGTAGGGAGCCCAGAAAGGACGTACGCGCCCAGCTATGTACATGAACACGGCCCCTTGGTCCGCGAGACCGGCCGCGTTACACGAACATTTGCGCAGTGCGTGCCCGCGAAACCAGCGTAGACTCATGTACGTGTACGTCCTTTTGTTGCTCCTGATTTAGGAAGGCCCCTGAGGCCCAGATGTTTCAGAATTCTTGAGCGTTTCTTGGCACTCCTGGGGGTCGCCGCGTGCGTTTGCCATGTACGTCTGAAGCCCACTGGGAGGCCAGGAGGCCAAATTCCCTGGTGCATTTTGAACACAGCTTACCAGCGTGGACCACGGACAATTAAGTTGTGCACCCTGGATATGGAGCTGGTGGAAACTACGGGTAAAACCTGTGTAGCGCAAACTATGCGGTGGAAGCCGCGTGGTGCAACCGACATGGTGCGAGCCGTGTGGCGCAAATAATGTGGTGCCAACTGGGTGGTGCAGACCACGTGGTGCAACCATGGTGGTGCAATGTAATGTGGTGAAGGGTACGTGGTGCAAGCTACGTGGTCAGGAGAGCCCAGAATCGAATCGACAAGTCGAATCGACAAGTCGGATCGGCGATCGAAATGAATCGGATCGGCGGAAATCGGCAGCCACGTCGGGAGAAGTCGAATCGGCAGAAATCGGCAATCTAGTATGCCTCCACTGCGGAATCGGAATCCAAATCGGAATCCGAAATCGAATCGAATCGGAACCCGAAGCCATCGAGAATCGAATCGAATCGGATCGGAGGCATCGGACTGAGCCCTGGGAGGGGCACGCGGTGCAAGCTGTGTGGTGCAGCCGGCGGACGAGGCACCCACGAGGTGCGCACGAAGGGCCCACGCGCGTTCGCTGGGTGACGCACCCAGGAGCCATCGGCTGGCGTCCACGAGGCGTCCACGAGGCGCCCACCAGGGCTGAACCTGAACGGCGCTCTTCGTGTTCTGTGCTGGTCTTCGTTCGTTCCTCGTTGCGTCTTCGCTCCGCCCTGATCGCGAAACGCGGAACGCAGCGAAGAACGGCACGGCCCACGAGACGGCCGGAGCACCCTTAGGGTCCAGCCCCAGCGTAAAACAGGGCTAGGATCGGGATAAATCGCTCCAGAGCGTTCCGGAGCGCTCTCAGAGCGTTCCGGAACGCTCTGGAGCGGCCGCGGCGCCCAATACATCCTCCAAACCCGCCGATTCTCAGAGATTTCGGGTTATCCCGATCTTCGCGTCGTTTTACAGCGCCCGCAGAGCACCCACGGGCGGCCACTCGGCGAGCAGCGACGGTGCCGGCCGCGAGCGCACGGGGCGCCCAGGAGGCGGCCACGGGGCGGCCTCCGCGTGCGCACTGCGGAGGCATCGCAGGGGGGACGAGCCATGTTACAACAGCTCGCAGGTCCGCGCGGACTTCTCGGAGCGGCGGTGGGCCCCCTGGCGGCGCCTCCAGCGCCGCCCCTGGCGCGCTCCGCGCGCCAGCGGCGGGGGGTCCAGCGCGGATCCGAGAAGTCCGCACGGACCTCAGAGTCTCTGTGCTCATGCCACGGTTCGTTCCCCTGAGACAGGCCCGGGAGTGCAAGCACCGTTCAGGGAACTCTTCGCCTTTCGGTTGATGGTCCCCGAGGTCTCCCCTCAATGGCCCACAGAGGGCCAGAGACGGGCCCTGATATTCCGATTCCAGTCCACCAAGAACCCCAAGAATTCCCCAAGCTCCACCTTCAGAGGCTTCCAATGTGTGTCCGAGGGGCACCCGCAATTTGTTTGCAACCCAATTTGCGGGTGGGTGGGTGGGATGATTGCGCGAACAATGGGGTTGTCAACTTCAAGTCCTGCAAGATGGATTGCGCCATGTAGACGCCATCACATATATTGAACCACGTGGGTTGCATCACACAGACTGCACAACAACATCGTACAACATAGATGGCTCAACGCATGTGGCACACAATCAATTCAGTTAGGCAAACATTGTTTGGGGCCCACGCTAGCTACTCTCTCTCCCTCTCTCTCTCTCTCTCTCTCTTTCTACATATATATATATAATATATGTATGTATACGCTTGTGTGTGCCAGCCAGAGTGGACCCCGAACAGTAAGTCATTACACTATGTGCAAGCTCGGTGGCGTAAGCTATGTGGTGCAAGCTATGTGGTGTAAAGTATGTGGTACCGGCGACGTGCTGGTGGACCACCAGGATGGGCGGCAACGACGCGGCCTCGAGGCGGCCACGAGCGGGGGCGCGGCGAAACCTCGGTAGACTCGACCAATACATGGGAGGCAGCGAGGCAACCCACGAGGCGGCCGCGTGCGCCGACACGGCGAAACCTCGGGGATTCAACCAGTAACCGAGAAGGCGGCAGCGAGGCGGCGACGCGGCGAAGGCTCGGCGAACTCAACCAATGGGCGGGCGGCAACGGGGCGGCCACCAGGCGAGGACGCGGCGAAACCTCGGCGGACCCCGCGTGGGCGGCAGCGAGGCGGCCTGCACCAAGGGGAACCCCCATGGATCTGGGGTCTGCTCCGTTCGCATTGTAATCACATTGTAACCGAATTCGAAAATAACAGGAATCCCTTGTGTCTGGGGTCGCTCAGTCTTAACGCAATCCAGATTCAGTAGAAATCGTCGGAATATGTGATATGTTCGATTCCGAAATCAATCCTATCAGCACCCTGTTCAAATCCAATCGGGATGCTCTGGATCTGGGGTATGGCCCGTTCCTGTTAGCATCATATTTACATGTTACCCACCAGCTCCTGTAAGAGACCCCTGGCTCTGGCATCTGCTCCACTCCTGTGTGGGTCGTCTTCCAACTCTGACCAAATCCAAGGAAGATCCTCTGCATGTGAAGTCGAGTCCGTCCCGTATGAAATCCAATTGAATCATATTCGAATCGACTCGGGGTCTCAACAACGGGGAGCCTCCAGCACGACATCACCGACAACATGTAGGTCCCTGAAGGGGGTCCGAATCTATATCATTGTTTGGAAACTTACTTACAACTATTTATGTCATGGGCGTTGGCCCAGCAACCATGTCCAAGAAACAGGGGGCGGCGGTGGTTCGCCGTGGGCCTCTCGAATGCTCCCTCAACCGTGATCCTCCTCCCGCACAACCCATCTAGGCGGGTTCCCCTACTACCCGGCGCGGAGCTTCTGCATGAACATTGCGACGAAGTCGTCGTCCTGAGCATAAGGCGTGGAGGAGGACGAGGAAGCGGAATGTCTGGAGGGGGAGATAAGCAACTTGCGTTTCTCGGCCCAGGGTGTGAAGGAAGGAGGGCAGGGCGTTGAGGAGAAGAGGAACGAGGAGGAGGAGAAAACACATGAATAGCGGAAAAGGCTGAGGAGGAGGCTGGGGTCGAGGCAAACAGGAGGAGCAGGCGGGGGAGCAGGCGAACAATGCGCGAGGACACGCTCTCGTGAACTTGCGCCTTGACCGTCGCTGCACTAATCGCTCATACCCAACGTCGAACAGATGTTTCCTTTTTACATCAAAAAAGGCATGCTGCCGCTCGATGGGATCTGCTGCAACACACAATCGGACCAAGGACAGAATAACACCCTTCGAGGACATGAGACCCTCCGCTGGCCCAAACACAGTGTCTCCAAAGGCACTCTCCGCAAGATGCACAATAACACCCGACAAGCAAGCACGGAAAACATCAGGGCACCCTCCCCGAACCGACCTCGATCTCATAACCGAGAGAGGCCTTGAGACCCCCCCGCCCCAACAGGGGGTAACTAACTATTGTTCGGCGGCCTTATTGAAGGACTGGGGTCCCACCAATAAGGGGTAATTGCTTTTTGTTTTCCGCGGCACCCGCCTCGCAACAGCAACGACGACAGCTGTGACTACGATTGCGACTGCGACTGCAACGCCTACTACTAATTATGCTTCAGGAGTAGGAGGATGAGGTTTCATGACCAGTCCTATTCACCGCCGAGTGAAACGGGGGGGGGAACAACACAAAAGACCGCTCGCGATTACCTAGAGGCCTCCTGCCTCCTAGATGGGGTCCGAATAGATGTGGTCGAAGGATCGTGCCGCATCGCCAATGCATCGCATCGGAGATGCCCCGGCCACGTCGGCGGTGCATCGGCGACATCTGCGTGGGGAAACACGGTCTCCACATCGAGCCGCATCGACGATACATCGGCGATGCGGCGCGATCCTCCGACCCCACCTGCTCGGACCCCACCTGCTCTGACCCCATCCTGGAGGCCTAGATTACCTCGGCCCGACTGTAATGTAAACCCGTTTCGGATCATGCGATTACCAAAAAAGGGGCACCTAATCCCTTTAGGAGCGGACCCAAGTTAGGAGGGCCGAAAACATGAGGGATAGGGGCTCTTTTCTTAGAAAGAGAAAGAGCGCCAGAAACATAAACTTTTGGCGCTCCGCGCGGATTTCTTTGATCCGCGTTGGACCCTCCCCCCCACCTGGCGCGCGGAGCGCGCCAGGGGGCGGCGCCGGAGGCGCCGCCAGGGGGCTCCAGCGCCGCTCCGAGAGACCCGCACGGATCTCATAGCTTTTGATGTTGGTGTCGCTGTTCGCCCCCCTGGGATCTGTGATCCATGCTGCAGAGATGGGGGCCTCAGTGAGGCCAGGCCTTCACTGTGTGGTTCGGGTTCGGGTGAGGTCGGGCATGCCCTGCTACAGGCGGATGTTGTGCGAGAAATGAACCATTGCCAAAACATGTTCAAACCTAGCCAGAAATATTTGACAAATCCTCCCCATACTATTTTTTGAACATTCCTCCGTAGGGGGACACGCCCGACTTAACCCTAATGCAAAGACGGGAACCGCAGCGAGGCCACACCTTCACTGTGCTATTATGTTTAGGGGTTCTTTGCTCTCGAGGACCACTGAGGAGAACAACTATAGCGTTGCGAGGGAAGGGTTGGGAGGAACGATATCTTCATGTCTCCCAGCCCCAGGGAAGGGCCGAACGTATCCCCACGACGGCGTACCCCCAGGTGAGGTGTCGCCGCGGCCACGGTTCCAGCGACGGTGGGCGCCCAATCGCGGCCGTTGGGCGCCCCGGGCGCCCCGAGGTGGCTGGGCCCTGAGACCCCTCTCACGGGTACGTTTGTTCTGGGGTACGTTTGGCCTCCCCTCGCAAATGGCCTGGATCCGCCGCGGGGGAGTTGCGATACATCACATCGAGGAGAACGAATGTGTTTTTGTTGCCGACGTGTGCGAATCGGCACTTTGCGAGTAGTGGAACGCACTCGGTGAGGGAGGAAGGATATCGTCATTGCTCCCAACCCCTATCCTCGCGACCCGATACCACTCTTCCAACCCCTCCCTCATCATCATTCCTCACTCCTCCCAACCCCCATCTTCCCAGCTGTCTCCCACCCAAACTTCCCATGTCCTCACTCCTTCCAATTTTCTCCCACCTCCTCCTCCTCCTCCTCCTCCTCCTCCTTCCCTCGTTCCTCCCAACTTTCTTTCTCCCACCCAGCCCCTATCCTCACTCTTCCCGGCCCCCAATCCTCCCAACCCGACACCTCGCCTTCCCGAGCCATAGGCGGCGCCGTCCTCGGCCAGCGCGTGCAGCGCCGCGCGCACCGCGCTCGCGGAGGCGCCCACCGCCCCCCCGGCGCCGGGCGGTGCGGCGCGCGCGGCGCCGGCCGGGGGCGCGCGGCCCTGCTGCGCCCGCGGCGGCGGCTCGACCTGTGGCGAGGAGGGCGGGGGGGGGGCGAGGAGGAGGAGGGATGAGGAGGGAAGGGGGGAGGAGGAGGAGGAAGAGGAGGAGGAGAAGGAGGGAGGAGGAGGAGGACGAGGAGGAGGAGGAGGAGGAGGAGGAAGGAAGAGGAGGAGGAGGAGGAAGAGGTGGCAGAGGAGGAGGAGGAAGTCGGGTCAGGTGAGGTCAGGCATTCCTCGAAAGCTCCTCGCGACAAGGCTACCGGGGGGGCGAGGCACATAAACCACAGCCCAGAGGCCTAAGTGTGGGCCAGCAGAGAAAACGTTCAGAAGGGCAAGTAAGCCATATTTTACGGGTGAAACAAAAATTATCCCCAGGCCCTTGTGCTCGGACTCCAGCAGTGCTTAGGCCTGAGGGAGGAAGGAGGATGCCGATTGAGGAAGTGGAGCTGGAGGGCACCCACTCAGTTGCGATGTAAGGGGTCGTCATTCGTCGCCTCTGGAGAGTGCCCCCCCTCCTCCATGGTTGAAGCTCCTCCACCTCCTCCTCCCCCTCCCCTCCCCTTAGACGTTCGGGGGCGTAGTGCCGCAAACAGAGCTGAAGCGTTGAAGCGTAGACGCGCCCGCTCCCGAGAACGCAGGCGCGTGCCAGTGCATTTGGCAGGGTTGTTCCCCCATCCCGTGCCAGAGCTGACCAATGAGTCCGTTTTAGTGTAGAGTGATTTGCGCAGATGGTTCACACTTGCGACTTCCAAATCGCAGTGGGGGGTCGTCGAGTGGATATTCGTGTGTCGGGGGCGGGGCTGGAAATTTCCGTGTTGACGCAGTTGCTTTGTGCTGCCACCCTTCGAGCCGCGTCTCTGTGAATGCGTGGCAAGTGCCGCTTGAGTGTCTGTTATATGATGATCTTGTCCACAGGAGGCGCTGTGGCCAACGTGCTCTTAATTGGGGTCGCTTTTTTTCGGTAGTGAGTCCGATTTCTACCTTATGGGGGGGGTCTTGCTGTTTTACCTGGATAGGCTCAGTCGCTCGTGTTTCTTCCGACGCTAGCCATCCGCCTTGACTCCCTCCCCCCCCGTCCGCGGCGGTAGCGCGGCGGCGGCCCCGCGCGGCGCCCGCCGCAGACGCGCGGCAGGTCGTTGTTCATTGCCCTCCTCCAGACCCCCTTGGGCCCAAGGGCAATGGAAATAGCGCAGACGCGCTGCGGCTCGATGGCTCGATGGCTGGGAGGTGGCCCTCCCGAGCGAAGCGCATGGCCTCCAGGTAAGCCTGGATGATCTGCTTCTCATCGCGAGCGCTGCTGGTGGTCCAGATCTGTCGCCAGACGTCCGCAGCTCTGTTCATGACGGTGTAGGGGTCACCCACGGTGACTCCGTTGAGCTTGGCCTCGAACTTCGGAGGGCTCGGGCCCACCGCGATGCGGTGGAGCTTGCCGGGGGGCTCCTTCCAGGCCCGCTTGGCCCCGTCGAGGTAGCGCTTGCGGGCGCGGCCCGCCGCCCTGGCCATCGCGCTGTTGGCCCAGCGCTCGGTGGCGGCGCAGAAGTGGTGGAGGCCCCCCTCGTCGCAAAAGTCCAGCGAAGCGGCCTGCCGCATCCGCTCGTCCACCTCCATGGGGTCGACCTGGGAGCCGGAGTGGTCCTGGTGGGAGTCATTGCTGTCGAGCTGGTTGAGCTTCGCCTGGGTGCCCTTCCTGAGCTGCCCCTGCGCTCGGGTGTCCATGTCTTGGTGACGAGGGCGGTGTAGCGGATGAGCAGCGTGCTGAAGTGCTGCCACCACCCCGCCTCAGGATCCTTGAGGTAGGTGCGCCCTGGCGTGGCCTTCATGATCTGGCGCGCGGTCTTGTAGCCCTGCGCCCTGCCCTAGTACCTGGCCGTCTCCTCGGAGGGGGCGTTGTGCGTCTCCAGGAAGGCGATCTCCATCGCGGCGACCCAGTGCGCGTAGGCTGCGTTGGCATGCTTCGCTGTGCGCGGCGCGTACGCGTGGAAGATGTGGCACCAGCCCTCCTTTGCGCCCGCGGGGTGGCCCTCGAACTTGGGGCAGGCGTCGACAATGCCGACGGCCATGTCCCAGTCGGTGCTGGGGAAGACGAGCGGCGCGTCGCCCCCGGCGGCGGTGTAGTTGGTGACCTGGAGGGCGTCGAACTGCAACCTTCCCGCCCTGGTCCTCAACGCCTCCGCGCGAGCCGTCGACCTTTTGCAAAGAGGGTCGGGGCTCTTTTTGGGTCGGGCTCGCGCGGGGAGGGCTTTGGGAACCTCGATAGCTTTGTCGCTCCACGGCTCGGCGGCCTGGATGGTGACCTGGATGCCGCAGTGGGTCTTCCACGGCGCGTCGAATGCGGCTTGGGCGGCGATGTGGGTGGCGATGTCGCTCCTGACGATCGCGTCGTCGCAGGCAGAGCCCTTGCCCTTGTCGCGCGCGGCCGTGCAGGAGGGGTCGGTGACGACGGTGCCGTTCCAGCAGGTGAGCCGCGGCTTGTCGGTCCACCATGGCGGCTCGTAGTTCCAGTCGCCCAGGATGATCGAAGGGCCAGCGAGCCTGTCCACGAACGTGGAGATCGACATGCGGATGTCCCTGTTGGCGCCCTTGTCACGGAGGCCAGGCCGAATGTAGGCAGCGACGACGACGACGCTGCCGCCCTTGGTGCGCAAGAAGGCTGGGGCGAATCCCGCGAACGGCTGGCGCTTGTTGGTCTTGAGGTAGTGCCCCCTATAGCCCTCCAGTGTAGTGGCCGCCGCGCGACGCCTGGCGAGTATCCACTCGCCTCCGCCGGTGCACTTGTCGGATTTATGCGTCGGGAGGGCTGGGGTAGCAGCGGGCTTCCAGCCGTCCATGGCGAGCTTGCCGCGCAGCTCGCTGGGGCCCTCGACACCCATGCGCGTCTCTGCGATCGCAATGATGCGGCACTGGTAGCCGACGGCGCGGAAGAAGTTCGCCGCCTGCGGGCCCCACTCCGTGATGCTGCCGAAGAGGATATGCGCCTTGTTGCTGGAGTCCTCGGCGCCGCCCTTGGCGACCGCCCCAGGCCCAGCGGGGCCGCCCGCGTTGCAAGCCCGCGGGTGCGTCTGCGCCTGCGGCCTTGCCCTTGCCTTTGGCCGCCACGGTGGCCATCTGCTTGGCCTTGTCGACAGCGCCCGCGATGAGGGCAGCGGCAGCTTCTCGATCGGCGGCGGAGGGCTCCGCGACTGCGGGCTCGGCGGCCGGTTCTTCAGGTAGGCTGGGCCCAGAGCTGGCGGCAGGTGCCCCTGCAGCGGCTTCGGCTGGGGGAGCGGCAGGGGCTGCGCCAGCGGCGGCGCCAGGTCGCTGCTCGAGAGCGGACGGTCCTTCAGGCTCTTGTTCAGCGCGCCGCTTGCGCTTGGCGGGGTTATCAGAGGACTTCTTGGTCTTGCGGATGATGTCGCGAACGTAGTCCTGACCTTCGCTGAGGGCCCTGATGCGGTCCTCCAGGTCCTTCTTCCGCTGCTCCATCTGCAGCCTGGTGGCGCCGTCGTACTTTCCGAGGCCGTCCCATATCGAGGTGTCGATGCGGAATGGCTCGGTGGCTGGCTGAGGTTCGCGAGGTGGCGCAGCTCCTCCCAGTTTGCGGCGTTGTTCCTCCTGCGCTTGCTCGCAGGCGCGCTTGGCCTTGACCAGCTCGAGAGCAGCTTGTTCCTGGCGCTCCTTGGCGGTGTCGAGCCACCGCTGCGCCTCCTCGGCGTCGTCGACGGTCTGCTGGAACTTCCGCTCACGGTCCGTGAGGACGCAGAAGGCCGACTGGAGCGCCTGCTCTGCGGTGCGCGTTGGTGGTGGCTGCTCTTGCACTTGTAGTGCTTGCTTGAGTTGGCCAACCAGTCCCTGATGCTTCTCATCATCTGCGAGGAGCGAGGGGCGTCGAGGATGCTGTCCTTCGATGGAGGCTGGGACGCCAGGTCCTTCTTGGCTGGCGGCGAACGGGTGCGCCATGGCTCGGCCGCCCACGCTCCTTCAGGCTGCTGGTGCTCAGCTGGCGATGGAGCGAAGGGCTTGCCACACGAGAAGCACTCGTCTTCGCCCTGCCAGGTCCATCCGTATCGGCAATGCCTGCATCTCGTATACCCGAGATCATAACCAGCACGCTGACCTCGAGGCTGCGGTGACTGAGGGCCTAGCGACAGGTGGTGAGCGAGCGGTTTGGGACCCATCTTTCCAGACCGTCACCGTGGCACCAGGCCCGAAGACAGGGCGGCAGCTCGCCCGTGTGGGGAGCTGCAAGTATGGAGGTGGGCGGCAGCTCGCCCCTGGATGTAGCTGAAAGCACGAAGAAAACTGGGAACTGAGGGTGCCTACCCCGCGGAGGCAGTTGTCGAAACACCATCTTGGCCTTGAGCCAAAATAGCTCCGGAGTAGGCGGAGGAGGAAGACGAGGAGGAGGAGGAGGAGGGCGGAGGAGGAGGAGGCGGAGGAGGAGGAGGAGGAGGAGGAAGGGGAAGAGGAGGGAGGAGGAGGAGGAGGAGGAGGAGGAGGAGGGAGGAGGAGGAGGAGGAGGAGGAGGAGGAGGAGGAGGAGGAGGAGAGGAGGGATGGGTTGGAGGGAGCGAAGTACGGGGGGAACGGGGAGCGGGGGAGGGAGGGGAGGGAGGAAGGGGGGATGGGGTGGAGGAGGAGGTGCCCCAAGCCTCTGGGCGGATTGACTTGAAACCCAGCGCGTGTTCTCAATGTCGACCTCCAGGACTGGGTGTTCTTGGCCTGGATCCGTCAGAAAACGCTGCAACAAGAAAAGCTTGCCTTTCTTTTGGCCCGGGGATCGCAAAAGAGTCGATCAGTCGCACGTCTGGGCAATGCCTCCTGTAATGCTCGTGTTCTCACAAATTCCCGAGTGGTGTCAACTGCCCCTGTGGCAAGGGGGAGGAGAAGGAGTGGGACCAATGCCCCAATCTGGATTCGGTCGTCTTCGATCGACGATCCGAGGACGCTTGGTCATCGCTGGACCATGCTCGATATGCTGAGGAATGGGAGGAGCGGAAGGATCAAGAAACAAAGGTTTGTTGCGTCTCAAGGCTGGCTGCGTCCTAGAGGGCGCAGTCAACACAGCAGGGTGGGGCACTAGCGACCGAGGGGCCGGCCCAATGGCCTCCAAGACCAAGCATACCGAGGCCCGAAAACACTGGCAAGGGCCGACCGAGACAACAAAATTCGCGAGGAGAGGGAGGAACAGAGGAAGAAGGGTAACAAGCTAGGCGCGATCGCGCCACTTATGACGTCCTATCCCTCCCTCCCATCCATGTGAGATCGACGGACATACAGAACATGGCATACCCTGGGATCTTCAAATTCGCTGACGCAAGATTACGACCACCGCTGCCACATCTGCGGCGACAACGCCGCTCCGTTGGACGGAGGCTACCTGGCAAGCAGAACATGCGGCAGATGCACCAGCGAGAGGCCCACGCCTAAAGGCAGAACGCGCTCTCCAGACAGTGCTAATGCTAGGTCGGCCGTGGCCCCTCTGCAAGCGGCTTATGGACGACAAATAAAAACCAGACCCAAACAAGAGTCAACTAATCTGCAACAAAATGATCAAAACAAAAACCGTCCCTGGACTGGCTTTGGACTGTTCTTGAACCTTCCCCCTCTGGAGGGACAGGCCCGACTTGCTGCTAACACCTGCGGGGGGGTCCCCCTTCGCACCTGCGATCGCCGGGCCCCGGTGCCGCCTCGGCCGCCTTGTGGCCGCCCGTCGCTGGGCCCCTGTGCCGCCGCCCGTCGTTCTGCCCTGGTGCCGCCCCCCGCTGGCCTGCGCCCGCCGGTCGCCACCCGTCGCCGCCCGTCGCCGCCCGTCGCCACGTCCTGCGCCGCGCTGTTCTGCACTGCGCTGCGTGGATGCGCACTGCGGCGCAGCGCTTCGCATCGCACGGCATCGCACCGCGTGGCGTTGCTTTGCGGATGCGTTGCGCTGCTTTGCGCTGTCTGCGTCGCACTGCATCCCTTTGAATTGCACCGCATTGCTTCGCATTGCATCACGTGGCAAGGAATTACAACGCATTGCTTTGCAGTTTTGTTTATTGCTTTGAACTGCTCGGCATTGCTTGCCATCGCGTCGCGTTGCTTTTGCATTGCCGTACGTTGCGTTGCATCTCTTTGCGTAGAAATGCGCTACAGTTCACTACTATTCACCACATACACTGCACCACATGTTTTCACAACCTAGCATGCACCACCTAGATTGCGCCGCAGAGATTGTAAGACATCGCTGTTTGAGGTTCACACTGGCTGACACGATTCCAAGTGTACGCAAACGTGCAACCACCACTGTCACCGATGCGGCGACAGCTTGTTCCGCTGGATGGAGGCTCTCTCGTGACCATGACTTCTGGCAAACGGACAAGCGAGCACACCAGTGTCCAAACATAGACATTCGTTGTGTGCCAAACAAATTCGGAAAGCCACTCGGACCCATCATGTGCGTTGAAAGCGCGGTATGCGAAATTGTTAGCACGTCCAACCCAGCACGGCATGCGGGGTAAGATGTGACTCGCATATAGTGTAGTTGTGTGTGGGTGGTGGGGGGGGGGGGGGGGGGGGGGGGAGTATGATAATGAGGAACAGGAAGATGAGGAGAGGAGGAGGAGGGTGAGAAGGAGGAGGAGGGGGGGAGGAGGAGGAGGAAGAGGGAGGGGTGAGGAGCGAGAAAGGGGTGGAGAGTGAGCGGAGTGCAGGGGGATCGGGGAGCTGGGGAGGGAGGGGAGGGAGGAGGTGGGGGAGGAGGAGGAGAAGGAGGAGGACGAGGAGGAGGAGGAGGAGGACAAGGATGAGGAGGAGGAGGAGGAGAAGGAGGAGAAGGAGGAGGGAGGAGGCGGAGGATGAGGAGGAGGAGGAGGAGGGGGGGCGGAGGGAGGAGGAGGAGGGGCTTTTTTGACTTCACTTAGCTCGTTGCAAGTAGCTTGAGCGGGGCGGCCGCAGGTCGGCTAGGCGGCAGACAGAGCCCGCCTAGCGGGCACTACAAAGGATCTCCGCTCCTGGTCCGTCCGCAAGCAAAAGCGATTCTTCGCCATTGGACCTGCATGTTGGGCGGGGGAGGTATTGGCACCGAAGGGGAGGGAGGGGGAATATATGAGGAAGAGAAGGGATCGGTGCCGTGCGAGAGTCACTAAGCGTGCCAGCTAGGCGTTGCCCTATGCGGGCAGCGCTGAAAGACCGAAGAGCAGCACAGCTGGCCTCAGGAACGGCCACCTGGGAGCATGGCTTAGCCATGGATATGAGCGGGATGAGTAGGAAGAGAGCCAAAAAATGGCAGTGCCGCGCTGTAGGGCGGCAGTGTCGGAGCGGACCAGGAGGGAGAGGCTGGCATTGCCACCTAGAGCCACCTAGAGACCTAGGAAGCCCCATCGGAAACGCACGTGACCGGTAAGGGGGGCAGGTGAGAGAATGCCTGTGCTGTACTTGGCTTCTTAGTGTTAGCGGGATTCGCCGACACGTGGTAAGAGGAGGAGGGAGGAACTCAAGGGGGGGTGAAGGAGTATCTCGCACAGCCAAGAAGCACTCAGGCGAGGTAGCTGTCCGCAGCAGGTGCGCACCTCTGACGGGCAGCATTAGCCGAGAGATACTCGGCAGGAGGGAGGGGGGGTTCCCCGGAGGATGCTCTGCCAAGGAGCTGCCGTGAGCGGAAAAGGCCATTTGCGCCGAAGACGGCCGCATGGAGACCAGCTATATGCCAAGACGGTGCAACGTATGACATAACATTGCATTGAAAAATGCGTTGCTCGCATTGTCTGGCCGGCCGTGCCGAGGAAGAGGGAGGAATCGAGTAAACTGTCATGGCATTGTCTGTAGGACCACTCTGCGGAAGCTGACTGGTAGCGCCTGCGGCTTCGCCGAGACCTGCAAACTTGAGGCGGAGTGCCGCTGAGACAAGTGCGTGACAGGTGCATGCGCACTGCGCCGAGTCGGAAGCCACAGGGCTGCTGAAAGCTGTCTACGGTCGCTGTCCAAAAATCCTGACGCCGAATGTGGTGTGGCCCCTCGGCCTGGTGTGCGAATGACCCTGGACATGGAGCGTACTGCACGGCACGTAATACGTAATGCGCGAGGAAAGGACCAGGAGGAGGGAGTGCCAAGGGGCAAAAAAGAGGATCGAGGAGATGCACTGAGTGGGCTTTCAGTGTCAACCGTCAACGTATATCGGCTTGTGCGCGTAAAGCGGCTGAGCCACGCAGTGCAAGTCGTAAGAGTGCTGCGACCTAGCATCGAGCATTGGCTTGGCCTTACCAGAGGCCTTCGCGCTCTGGGCGGCCTCGGCCGAGCGTCCTAGCACTGTTGCGAGCTGTGCTGTTCCCGGCGGCCCTCGCTGTCGGGCGGACGCAAATGCAAAGTGTGGCATGCCGCTCAATGGCAAAAGCGCTTATAGGACGATGACCGTACCCTAGATCCAAAACTGGACATGTGATGCCGATAAGGCAGGCGGCGAGAGGCGCTCGAGCGTGAGCAGAGAGCAAAGAGCAGAGAGCTGTGCATGGGATGCACATGCCTGTGCCGTGTTTGTGTGACGCTTGTCCATGCGAGTACCTGGCCATTGAAGGGTGAAACACGGGACGAACCAAGGCGGAGGAGGAGGATGGACAGGTGAACGAATATGGTAGACAAAAGCGCAAATACAGGTGCACAGGAGGAAAGAAGGGAGAGAGAGGCACGGCGTGAGCACGGCGTCATCGCATCGCGCCGACCCTGACGGGCAAGCGACCCAGCGGTAGCCGGCTTTTGGGCCAGAATACTAAAGCCGCCTCGAGCGGAGAGCCCTCAGGGCTGGGTGCACGAGGCCGTGAGACTCGAGGGGCGCCGATGCTAGCTCTTGTTCGCTGCGGCCGGCTGCCTCGGGCCGGTGGGCTAAGTGCTTACGCGGGCGCAGTGTGAGACGACTCACGTCTGTGCTGCCTCTGAGTCTTCAGCATCAGAGGACGGAGGCAGATCCCAATAGGGGCGCCCCAGAGGCAACGAAGGAGCGGTTGCGGTAGCCATCCGTGCGGCAGCCGCCGCGTCCAGTGCCGCTCGCGCAGGAGTGCTAGTGAAAAAAGGCCGGGGACTGCCAGGTCGTGGCGGTCTCAGAGCCGTGGGGCACGGCTGTGGCGCCCCGGACATTGAGACCGCCTGCGCCCTCGGAGAGGCTGCTGAAAACCTGTGCGTGGCTGAGGGCTGCGTGGAGGCCCTAGGCTGCTGCACGGTCGCCGGCGTATGCACTGGCACTGCTGGCGTATGTACCGGCACAGGTACTGGCACTGGTAATGGCTGAGGCACTGCTGGCGTATGTACTGGCACTGCTGGAGCTGGGACTGCTGGCGTATGTACTGGCACTGCTGGCATTGGGATTGCTGACATTTGTACTGGCACTGCTGGCATATGCACTGCTGGCGTATGTACTGGCACTGCTGGCGAATGCGGAATTGGCACTGCTGGTATTGGTACTGGCTCAGGTACTGGCACAGGTACTGGCACTGGTACTGGCTCAGGTACTGGCGCTGGTACTGGTGAGGCGGCGCGCGCTACGGGGGCAGGCTGCGGTGCCCGCTCGGCTGCGGCCGTGGACAGAAGAGCCGCATGAAGCGCGCCTCCCAGCCGGGAGCTGCACGAGCCGCGATGCGCCAGCGCGTCGAAGGCCCGCAGCAGGCCCTGCACCGCTCGCGCGTCGGCGCGGCGGTACTGCTCACGCCGGGCCGCGGCACTGGGGAGGGGCCTGCGACGGGGCCGGGCCGCCCGCTCGGGGGAATCCATGGCGCGCCCGCTGAGAGGGGCAGGGGGGGGAAAGGAGGAAGCGGCGCGGGGGGGCGCCCGTGGCGCTGGCTGGCAGAGCAGATGCTCGGGCCAGCTTGCGCTGAGGAGGAGGGGAGGTAGGAGGGGGGAGAGGGAGGAGGACGAGGAGGAGGGGGAAGAGGAGATGGAGGAACGGGGGAGGAGGAGGAGGAGGAGAAAGAGGAGGAGGAGGAGGAGGAGGAGGAGGAGGAGGAGGGAGAGGAGGAAGAGGGGAGGGATGAGGGGGGAGAGGACAAGCTAGGTGCGCTCGCGTCATATCTGACGTCATACCCCTCCCTCCTCCCTCCCATCTCTTACCATGGCGCAGGTGTCCTCCCTATTCGCACAATCGGATATCGTAGCATGGCGTAGCATTGCATTACATAGCATGGTGTTAAGTATTAACGCGTAGCATGACATAGCATGGCGTGGCGACGCCCCAGAATGAGGGGGGGCTTCTGCGGCCCACGAAATCAAAGGATCGACGCCGAATGTGTAATCACTGCTGATGGTTTCTTCGGGAGGCCATTTTTAAGATTTTGGGGCCTATTTGGAAAGACCGAAAACCATTCCGTGGCATGGCACTGGAAATAATGACGCCGGCGCTGCAGCGGGAGCACGATTCGGAACGACCAGAAGCGCAGAAATGGGGCCAGCGCTGCAGCGGGAGCACGATTCGGAACGAGCGGTAGCCCGAAAATGAAGCCACCGCTTCAGCGCGAGCAGCATTTTGAAACAAAAACCAAGCGCGGAAGCGCGGAAATGAGGACGCGTAGCATGACATAGCATGGGGCTTCTGCGGCGCAAGAAATCAACGAATCGGCACCGAATGTGTAATCACTTCATATGGTTTTGCCGTGGCATGGCGCTGGAAATAATGACGCCGGCGCTGCAGCGGGAGCACGATTCGGAACAACCGGAAGCGCGGAAATGAGGCAAGTGCTGCAGCGGGAGAACGATTCGGAACGAGTGGTAGCCCGACAATGAGGCCAGCGCTTCAGCGAAAGCAGCATTTCGAACAAAAAGGCCCAAGCAAAAATCCGAGAAGCCAGTACGCGGAGGGAAGCCGGCCATTTCCCGGACGCCACCCGGGGAGAGAGGAGAGTAGTATCCACATTGTTTCACTGTTGAGAAGGAGGAGCGGGGGGAGGAGGAGGAGGAGGAGGAGGAGGAGGAGGAGGAGGAGGAGGAGGAGGAGGAGGAGGAGGTAGAGGAGGAGAAGGAGGAGGAGGAGCAGGAGGAGAAGGAGGAGGAGGAGGAGGAAGAGGGGAGGAGGGAGAGGAGGGAGGAGGAGGAGGAGGAGGAGGAAGAGAGGAGGAGGAGGAGGAGGAGGAGGAGGAGGAGGAGGAGGAGGGAGAGGAAGCGACCGTACCGAATGAGTCCGGACCTACGGCGCGACAGCGCGCTCAGCAACCAATGGCGACCTTCGCTGCTGCCATAATCGTGTAATGAACTGTGGGAGTGGTGGGAGCGCTCCCTCGTGCATCGCACTCTGCCTTCAGTGTGTGGTATATGTGAAACGCCAAAACGATTATATGATGCAAACGAGCACGTGGAAACTCTCGCTCAGGATCGGGTTCCATCCTCAGTCCGAGGCGAGTAATGGGGGAGGCGGGCAAGTGACCACGAGGAAGAGAGAGGGGGTGAAGAAGGCGAGGACAGGAAAGGTAGTGGCTGAAATTATCACTGGCTGGGGGCTCGCATCCGCAAAAACAAGGCCTGCGGTCCATGGATGGGATCCGCGCTGATGTAGTCCAAGCTCCAGCCAAAGTCTGCAAGTGGGCCCATGCCCAGGAAGGCGGGCATCTCGCAAGAATCCTTCAGAGCCCAGTCCATCGCAGGCCGATCTCACAATCTGGGAGTTTGGGGGAGTGGGGAGCCTGGAGCAGCTGCGACGACGGAGAAGGGAGGGCATGAGGTCAGGGCACGAAGACAGCCGAAGTGATCGAGCGAACACTCGCTGTGGGCGGGGGCGGCGTCCGTCCACCCAGGCGGTGCGGAGTTCCACGCTGGCCGCGGCCACACTCTCTTGCCGTGCGTGCTGGGGGATGCCCACGGGGGGGGAGGTGGAGGACAGCGAGGCAAGGTGTTCGACTGTGCTGACACGCCTCCTCCACCACTCGGGGGAGAGAGCACCTCGGAGGAGATCGACGAGATGGCCATGGAGCCAAGCGTGCTCGTGCAGCTGCGCCAGTGCTGCCCTCCACCCGTCCGCCGGCCCCCCCTCTAAAGTGTGGCGGGCCGGAGGAGGAGGAGGAGGAGGAGGAGGAGGAGGAGGAGGAGGACGTGGAGGGAGAGGAGGAGGAGGATGAGGAGGAGGAGGAGGAGGAGCAGGAGGAGGAGGGAGAAAGAGGAGGAGGAGGAGGAGGAGGAGGAGGAGGAGGAGGAGGAGGAGGAGGAGAAAGAGGAGGAGGAACGGGAGACCTGCGGCTCGTAGGCGCGCCCCGGGGGCGGCTGCTCGTGGCGCGTCTCCCACAGCGCCCGCTCCAGCGCACCCTCGACGCGTACCCGCTCCGAGTCCTCGTGGAACCACAGGCCGCGGATGCGCTCCGCGGCGTCCCCGACCTCTCTGCGGGCGGGGGCGCCGTCCCACTCACGGACCCATAGCCACGCACGGCGCAAAATCCGGACTCATCCACTCACGGATCCACGCACGGATGCAAATCTAGTTCCTGCATCGTTGACTTCGTTCCATGCGCAGCTCGCTCCCCCCTCGCGTTGCGAAACAAGAAAAGACACGACGGGAGTTTTTGTCGCAACTCTCTGCTTCTGGGGTCAGCTACAGGGCCTCGGGACCGTCAACAAACGACTCGGGATGAAACACGGATCCTGGGGAAGAGGTCCAGACCTCTGGGGGTCGACGTGGTGAAACACATGACGTCGGGTGTCTGGGTCCCGACCCCACGACACCGGGCTCCTGCCCTGACGACTTGAGCCCGTGTTTTCGATGTGGCGCGAACGGTTCAACCTGAAGCGATCTCCGTTCAGCGCTCCGAGTTCCCCCTGATAATCTCGGCCAACGCATTCGCACGGATCTCGCGACGTGGATCGGTTTCCCAAAGATCATACGTCTGATGTTCTTCATATTGATGTGATGCCTCCGCCTGCACCCCCCCTCCTTCCCAATCACCTTCACACACTCCCACCCACACTCCGACCTGGTTAGACTCACTCACACTCAGACGTACATCAGACTCACCCATACTCGGACTCAATCATACTCAGATGCACCCAAACCGCTTATACGCAGACTCGCTCATGGGGGGCATGCGTGAGTCGAACTCGCTCATGCACAAACTCGCTGTGACCTCTACTGGGCCGCCAGACTAACCCACAACCAATCCAGCCCGCACTAAAATCATGAACGCTGGCATGCACAATCGCGCAATCAGAGTCTGACCCACACATACTCGTCTCCCGCGTATAGACTCACTCATAGGAGCCGTCCCCCTTCAGAGACCCATGACCGCCACGATGAAGCAAGAATGGTACTGGGGCCCCCCACGGTAGACGCCGACGAATGGGTGATGCACAGGCCGGTTCGCGCCCAGATCTTGAGGAATTCTCGTGCGAAAATACTGCTTCGGCCCAATGGAGGAATCTCTTCCCAAAGCCACATGAACCGAAGAGCGAATGGCGAATCAAGTTCTAGCATTCCAACGGGACAGAAACTAGTCGATCGGGCGATATGGAGGGCAGCAGCCAAGAAGGCCGCCACCAGGTGCACGCCGAAGACTAGCACCATGGGCGGAGGAGGGGGGAATGGGGGCCGACCCTGAGCGAGGTGGCAGGCATGGCAATTTGGGCTGTCGAAGCGGGTGCCGAACCTGGGTGCACAAGCCCGCTCGCGCCCAGAATGCGGAGACCTCTTGGGCGAGATGTCGATTTCGGCCCCATGGGCGAGTCTCCTCTCATTGGCGGCGAGCGAAGGGGGGAAATGAAAAGGAGAAGGCCTTCTCAGAAGGCGGCGGGACTTCTCAGAAGCCCTCGCGCCTTTTGAACAAAAATTCTGCGTCTGCGGGGAAGGCTTAGAAAACTTCTCAGAAGACCTGGGGACTTCCGAGCCTTCTGAGAAGGCCCACCCCTTCTCACTTCCCCCCTCGCTCGCCGCTGATCTCCGAGATCCACGACCACCGCGATGTAGTAGGCATGTCACTTCGGCCACCCAAGGACATTGCACGGGCCCGTTGGCGCCCAGATGGTGGTGATCCCCTCAGGCGAAGCGCGTGCTTCGGCTCAGTGGGCGAGTCTCTTTTCAGAGCCCCATGGTCGCCGCGATGTAGACGGCACGGCACTGGGTGCTCCCAGGGGGGAGCCATCAACGGTTGTAGCACGGGCCCGTTTGCGCTCAGACTGTGTGAGCCTCCGAAGCGAAACGCCTGTCGTGGTCCTGTGGGCGTGCCTCCTTTCAGAGCCCCGCGATCGTTGGCATGAAGCAGCAGCAGGCGATGCAGTCTTCTCCCAATCCCGCGTTGCGGCAAGCACGTCGCTTGGGCCATACAAAAAAAAGTGCCGATCATGGGTCTCGCCCGCGGCCAACCTGCGACCCGCCCGCGACCCGCCCGCGACGCACCCGCGACCCCGCCGCGACCCCGCCCCCCCCGCGAGCCACCCGCGACCCACCCACGCTGCTTTGGTGAGAGAAGATCAGCGTCTGCGGCGGACTCGCTGTTCCACGCGCAAAAGAAAATCAGTGCCTGCGGGGGGCTTCAACTTCTGCTTCGAGCCTCGCAGACCCCCGACGATCCCCCCCTTCACTCTCATCCGGAAGCTGCGAGGGCTGTGGCCTGACATTCAGTAAACTTCGAGGGGGGGGGGGGGGCCGGAGACCCCGATTCCCCCCAAAACAGTGCTTGACTGAAGGGTTCTTGCTAGAGGCCTCCCAGATGGGGGCCGAGTACATGGGGTCGGAGGACCGCGCCGCATTGCCAATGCATCGCAGATGCATCGGTGATGCATCAGCCCATCGGCCAGCGACGACTGCGTGAGGAAAAACAGTCTCCACATCGAGCCGCATCGTAGATGCATCGGCGATGCGGCGCGATCCTCCGACACCATCTACTCGGACCCCATCCAGGAGACCTAGACTTAGGTCGGGCACCCCTACAGGCAGATTTTGGGCGAAAAACTGACAATACTCAAGAAATGCACCGAAACAGTCAAAACGTGATCGAAGCATCGTCCCCAGACCATTTTTGGGGGACTATTCTTGCATACTCCTCCGGTCGAGGGACAGGCCCGACTTCAGCCTGGACCTTGCTCGCATAGCTGACACATCCGCAGTGCAATCACTTACTGCTTGGATCCCCGCTGGCAAACATGTTGACATCGCTTCGCATCACAATGTTTCAGACATTTCGAGTGGAAGCCCCATTTACAAAAGGAGCCACCTGCCATTTTCGTAGTGGGTTGCAAAGCGAAATCGATGCCACGTCCATCTCTGGACAAATTCAAACCTGTTTGGAAAGAATGCGCATGGCGCTGAAACGAAACCCGCATTTTGACGACCACACACACACACCATCCGTGAGATTGACGGAACCTCTCAAGAAGAACCATCGACAAATTTGGTGTTGCGACGAGGCGGAAAAGGAACAAGAAGCCCCCCCATTAGAACCTCCTGGAAAACCATAATCTCCACCAACACTCCCTTTTACCCTCCATACCCCATTGGTTTCCCTCCTCCGCCACCTGTTCCCCCTCTTTCGCCAATCGTTTACCCTAGCAGGCAATCCGCGCGCCTTGTAGAAGATGTAGTTCGTCTGGCAGTCGAGCTCCCAATCTGGGTGCAAATCATCGCAGAGGTCCGCGCTTTGGTTGAGTCGGTTCTTCACGATCAGCCGGTACCACGGCGACCTCGACCGATGCAGAATCGGGCGACAGGCGATGACGTACTCCAAGAGGAAGAGACGAGGGCAAGCGGGCAAGACGCGAGACGAGAGCAAATTGTCCGCACGCGTCAGTCCACTGGAGCCGGCCCACTTCCAGAGCAATGCTGGCGGCGCTCAACCCTTCAGCTATCGTGGCTGGGATCGGCGTGGGGCGACAGGCGATGAGGAGGAGGAGGATCGGAGAGGGCAGGAGGGCATGGGCCAGCAGTAGGGGTGCAATAACAATAAAGATGATCATCCGCCGCCGGGCCCGCAACCACGGGTGTCCTCAGGTCCTGGGCCGAAGCTGATCGGGCAAGAACGGGAGGCGCCGATGTTGTCCGAGGGTGATGGCGACACCAAAGCAAGCGGGGGATGACAAGAATCACAGCGTGGAGGACGGGGGGGCAGACAGGGAAGCAGGAAGACAACGACGAAGAAGAACAACACAAAGACGACGAAGGAGGAACGAAGCGAACCACGAGGAGGAACGACACGGCGGAGGAGAAGGAGGACGACGAAAGGGGGCATTGAACAAAACATGCGAAAAATTACGTCGAAGAAGGGGGGCTGTGTGATCTTTTTAGGATACCTGGGGGCTATTAGGACGGTCAGTGGCTGTCTTCGGGCAGTTTGGGGGCCTCTTGGGGGGTCATTCGGGGTCTTCTTGGGGGGTGCTGGGGTCTTCTTGGGCTGTGTGGGCGTGTCTGAATTACGGTTTTGCACAATTCTCTCAGGCTGTCTTGGCGTTACCTTGGGCTGTTTTGGGGCTCTCTTGGGTCGTCGGGGGGCCTCCTGGGGCATTTTGGGGGGCCTATTGGTGCCCTCCTTGGGTCTTCAGAAGGGAATTGTGGGGTTCTTTTGGACCACGGTGGGCCCCTCCAGGGGCGACTCCAAAACGATGTTGATTCGGAGCCCTCCATAACCACTGTTTGAGTACGTCCCGAGCAAAACGGCCATGCCTGATAAACCTGTCCGGACAAGGGCGGGAAGCGCCGCTTCTGTCCACGAAATTTGTTACAACACGTTCTGAGGAGAACGTCAAGAGATCCTGGAAACGGAATACGAACGACCAACATACCCGCTGGCGGCTCATTGTGTTGGTCTGTCGTGCTCTTGTAATCCGCCGTGCTGCTGTGTTCTGCAATGACCCTATGGTTCGCCGTGCTGCTGTGGTCTGCCGTGCTGCTGTGGTCTGCATTGCTGGTCTGCCGTGCTGCTGTGGTAGGCCGCGCTGGTCTGCCGTGCTGCTGCGGCATGCCGTGGCTGATCTGCTGTGCTGCTGTGGCATCCCGTGCTGGAATGGAACGGGATGCGAGGCCCGACAGGCACGAATACAGAGAAAGCGCGTTCGCCCTTCCAGCCAGAGCAGGGGAGGGGGCCAGATGGGCCCACGCAGCAGAAGACGCCGAGGGGAGTGACGACCATCCCTCCTCCGAGATGAATTGTCGCAGGTCGATGGCCGGCCAGGAGCGAAGTCCACATTCGACGCAACTGAGGTGCGCCCCGAGGGCGCCCCGATCACCTGGGGAACAGCACCCGCCGCGCAAGAGCAAACGTGCAGCCCCTCGCTCACTGCTGGCAGGCGGCCCCTGGGCAGGCGGCCGCCTGGGCTCCGCTGGGCAGGCGGCCGCTGGGCAGGCGGCCGCTGGGCAGGCGGCCGCGGACGAGCTGACAGGCGGCCGCTGAGCTCCGCTGTCGCTGCCGTCGTCGCTGCGGCCACCTCTGCGCCTCGGGCGGCGACGGCCCTGGCGCTCCGCGAGGCGGGGCGCCGCTGCCTCGGCCCGGTCCGCCAGGCCATCCCCCGTTGAGGCCGCAGGCGGCACGCCTGGGGGCGCGGCCGTGGACCGCGGGCGCCAACGGCGGCACCTCCGAACTCCGCGGCGCCGCCGCCTCCCGTGCGAGGGGAACACGGCCCGTGCCCCCGTCGCCGACAGGTGCGGCGGGGGCGGCGCGAGCCCCTCCTGGGCGGGCAGGAGGCCCACCAGGAGCACCAGCGCCGCCCTCGGGCTGCGCGCCGAGCCCGGCCAGGTTGCGGAGCTCGGCCTCCTCGGGGAGGGGCACGGCGGCCATCCGCCTCTCGATGGCCCATCTTCCTCTGGCGGCCGCCTGGCCTGGGTGCAGCCCGCGCTCGCCGAGGCCTCCCCCGTTCCTGCCAACCTTGTCGGCGCCTCCGCGCCCTGGGCAGGCTGCCTTCAGACGGGGCTTGGCGCCGCTCCTGCCGCCAACCCCATGCTGGCGCCGCGCGACGCGCCAGCGACCAGCTGCTCCTGCTCCTCGCCCTGCCCGCTGCATCCGCGGGCCAGCGCGTGCCTATGACGACGAGGTCCGCAGCGCCGACGCCGACGCCACCGGCTACTGGGGCGCCTGCTCGTCGACGTGGCCTGGCTCCGCCTCGGGCCCCGCGAAGGTGACCCCGCGGCGCTCCTCGCCCTCCGGGACCCCCGGGCGACCCATTGCCGCGCGTCTGTGCAGCACGGTATGGAGGCCTGCGCGATCCACCTGCCGACCTGGAAGACCACCTCGGCGCGGGCGCGGCGCTCCTCGGCGACGGCGCCGCCCGCGCGGTGGAGCTCAGCACCTGGCTCGCAGGACCGCCGAAGGTGCGCAGCATCAAGACCGCAACGTCCTCGCCGACCTTGGCTATCTGCTGCGGGCACGGGTCGCGCCTCGCCGCGCCGTGGGCGCCCGCCGCCGGGTTGCCGTCGTCGTCGACCAGGATGATCGCCCAGCCCGCCGCCGCAGCTGGCCACGGGCGGGGTCCAAAGCCGAGCCGTCCAGGGATGGCCCTCCGTTCAGCTGGGCGTCAGCGGGCCGCCGAATTCACCGCCGTGATTTCGCGGCATCGGAGCGGGACTTAGGAGCGACCGCCGGCACTGGCAGCCAGCGCCGCGCGAAATCCCCCCCCGCCCCCTCACCTAGGACACGAGCCCTGCGCGCGCGCAGGAACAGACTGGCCGAAAGGCCGTCGCACCGCACGCCCGCGGCATCCGCGCGCGCAGCACTCGGCGCGCGCGCCCCCCCGTGTTCGGTGGAGCCGTGCCGCTGCGCTGGACCCCCATGGGGTAGTCATGGTGCCCGACACACGACAAGCTCCAGGAAGCTTCTCGCCTGTATGGATGTGATGGTGCGCGCGCGTCGCACATGTGCATTCGTGATGGACGTCTCCTTCGCCCGCTTAGCGCCGAAGACATATCGGCGTTGAGGCTAGGGCAACTGCCGAGGCCTGTGCCGATGGGGCCGAGATATGGGCAGCGATGCGCCAGCAACGAATTCGGCAACGGCTCCTCCCGACAGCACGAAACCTGCGGCATTTGAGCTAAACCGGACACAAGTGGAGGACGAGACGAACGCGACATAAAATTCTGCAGGATGAGAATCAGGACGGAGGAACATGAGGAACCAGCAGCGGAGGTTGGATACTTTAGATGGGATTGATGAGGTTGGGATGAGGAGAATGAGAAGAAGTAAGAGACGGACAAAGCGGGTATCGGAAGGGGGAGGAGGAGGAGGGGGAGGAGGAGGAGGAAGAGGAGGAGGAGGAGGAGGAGGAGGAGGAGGAGAGGAGGAGGAGGAGTGAACGTACCATGAAGAGAAGAGACGAGGGCAAGCGGACAAGACGCGAGAAGAGGACAAGTGATCCCACGCCTGTCTCTCGCCGCTACGTCTATCTCAGGATGCGATCTGTACGCTCGACGCTCTGGCCGCCAGCATGGGGCCATACACGGGGAGCGGAAAAATGTAAATTACGATTCGGGAACGTGGGAAACGCTGGGATGGGGGGAAGATGCACCGAGGAAGAGGGAAGGGCAGGGGACGAGCGAAGCGAAGGGCACCAAGACGGGGACGAGCGGGGTGGGGTGCGCGGGACAGAAGGCACAGGGCTAGCTACATGAGAGGAGGAGGGAGGGGGAGGAGGAGGAGGAGGAGGAGGAGGAGGAGGAGGAGGAGGAGGAGGAGGAGGAGGAGGAGGAGGAGGAGAGGAGGAGGAGGAGGAGGAGGAGGAGGAGGAGGAGGAGGAGAAGGAGGAGAAGGAGGAGGAGAGGAGAGAGGAGGAGGAGGAGGAGGAGAGGAGGAGGAGGAGGAGGAGGAGGAGGAGGAGGGAGGAGGAGGAGAAGGAGAAGGAGGAGGAGGAGGAGGAGAGGAGGAGGAGGAGGAGGAGGAGGAGGAGGAGGAGGAGAGGAGGAGGAGAAGGAGGAGGAGGAGAAGGACGAGAAACACTAAGATAAACGGTAGTTCAAGGGAACACGGGAGGCGGAGGACGACGTGGTCGAGAACGGCGAGGGAGGCATTGTATTGGTGATGCAGGTGTTTGCGGAAAGGGTGAATGAGCAGGAGGGCGATTATTAGCAACGAGAGCGTGAGCGCAGAGCGAGCAGGATGATACCAGACAGAGGCAACATCGCGACCTTGACCGCCGAACGAGGTAGACGGGTCCCTCGATGTTTGCTTTGCGCCATCCAGGGTCGGTTCCCTCCAACGCCATCACGTACGCCACTGCGAACTCGGACGAAATCACCACCTTGCAGGGTCTCATGATAGAACCACACAGCAATGGCATGCAACACGCGCGAGAACTTACGCTGGCGGAGGACCCATCCGTTGCAACTTGAACGCCGCGAGGGCAGAACTGCGCTGGATGCACCATCGATGGAGAGAGCGATCGTTTGCTCTGGGGGGCCATCGACGATGCAAGCCCTCTGTGCGAACAACTAGCTCGCTCGTGAGCGAATCGTGCGGAACGTATGTAAAGCGTTTACAATGGAGGCCAGTCCACAAGAACACTTCCACAAGATTCCAACCCTGAGACCCCAGGAAGTCCATTGATTTTTGGCGTGGGAACGTCACGCCTTCCACAGCAAAACCATCGAATCCCAAGATACCCAGGGCACCCTGGAGGCAAGCAGGGTGTCTCTTGGCATGGGCCTCCACTGCACGCTAAAACATGACTTGCAAAACGCCCGGGCGAAAACTGGAACCCGTCTCGGTGAAGCTGCGACGTGCGAGGCCAAAAAAGCCTTGGGTCGGGCGTGTCCTCCTACAGGTGGATGTTGGACGAAACGTGAAACATAATGACAAGCATGTCCAGCACATAATTGACACATATGTGAAACATCGCCCCCTGACGATGTTCGGACCATGTTTGAGTATTCCTCCTGTAGATCGGAAGCGGCCAAGAAGGGGGGTGTCCAAGAGGGGGGGTGGTGCAAATCATGACCGGCGGCATGTGCGCGACCCAGCGGGGGGGCCAGGGACGTAAGGAAATAAGAGGAGGCACCATGAAATCAGGGAAAATGCCATGGCCCCCGCCATGATATCCACCCCGCCCCTAGTCACCACCCCCCTCTCATTCCTCCTGTCGAGGGACACGCCCGACTTCATCGGCTACACGCAAGAGTGACCCTGGGCAAGAGTGACCTTTGGTGCGCGGCTTTCTGGGGGCCGCGGGGGGACCAAACCTGGGCGCGCAAGCCGCTGCTCCTGCTTCGTTTTCGGCCACCTGGGGACCCATCTGTGCCCGCACCAAAGGTCACTCCGGCGAAAGGTCACTCTTACGTCTAGTCGACTTCAGAACACCCCTGCCGCTCCGAATGCTTCCGGCGCGCGCCCCCTCGGCGCCTGCTCCACCTCTGGGTCCTGCTGCTGCAGCGCCTCCAGGCCGCCGCCGTGCTCCCTGCCGCCGCCCCCTGGGAGCGAGAGAGGCTCCCGCGGCGCAGGCTCCCGTCGGGTCCTCCGCCCTCCTCCCGCCCTCCCGAGGGCTCCCAACTTCGCGCTTCGCGCTTGGCGCTGCGCGAAGCGCGAAGCTAATAACTTGGCGCTCTCGCGACGCCTCCCAGGGGAGAAGAGGAGGATGAGGAGGAATCGGAGCCGAACCGCGAAGCGCGAAGCGCGAATAACTTCGCGCCCTCGAGGGCGCCCTCTGCCCTCCTCCCGCCCTCCGCTTTGGACGCCCGACATGGGCACGGAAACAAGGGGCACAGTGCCCAGCAGCAAATGTTGTCCCGAACCAGCAGCGGCCGCTCCTTGGCGAGCGGCCTCCTGTCTCAAATGGGCACAACCCGCGGCGACGCCGACAGCGAATCTGGTTCAAAATGGACAAGAACTGCTGTCGGTCTTTGTGCCCAATCTTTCCGTACCCATGTCGGTCGTCCCGATCCGCTGCCCTCCCCCTGGAAGAGGGAGCCTCGCGGACGGGAGGCCGGGGCAGGCGGTGGTGGTGGGGGGGGGGGGCAGGGGCGGAGTGTGCTGGATGGGGGCCACCTGCGAACCGACCCCTACCCCCCCCCCACACACACACACACGATTTCTGAGGGGGAGGGTGGGGTTCACTTCACCCCACCCTCCCCGCCGGAAATCGTGGGGGGCAGGGGTAGGGCTCGCACGTGGCACCCTGGGGCTGAAGGGGGAGGAGTGAGGAAGACCGGGAGAGCTGGCTTGCGCTTCGGGAGCCCCCTCCGCCCCAGCCGCCGCCAGGAGCCGCGGGCATCGCCGCAGAAGCCAGAACCCACGTGCGGGGCTTCCTCTTGCCAGGCCCTGTGCCGCGCGCGGGCGGACAAGAGGGGGCCCGACACGCCTGGCCTCGTCGTCTCGAGCCAGAGCAGCAGGAATGGGAGCCGCGGCGTCCCCATCACAGCGAATGCAACGTCCTGGGTCCCCCCCAAACAAAAACAAACGGCCCCTGCCCTGGACGTCTCCTCAAGGCCACCACCCCACGCGCAAGCGAGGCCATCATCCATCCCGAGGAGCCCCAGGGACACCCCACTGGACCCACCACGCCTCCGGAAAACCCCACGTGAAGAGCCCCAATGTAGCCCCATCCCCAGGAAAAACCTGCGAAGAACTTGGACTTCGAACGCGTGTGAATGTACAGCGCGCGTGGCGTTACATGAAACTGTTGGCACATGGTGACTGCGCATGTCATGTTCTAAGCCGTTCGAGGCGGAAAGCTCTTATACCCCAGCGCCTCACTCTGCTTTGGGGCATAAGCGCTGATATGGCCGCTGATGTTCCCTTCCTTTTTCGCCGCAGCCGGACTTGACGCATCAACGCTTTCGGTCACACACCCGGCTGCGGCGACGCAAGGGGTGAGACCATGACGACGACGACGCGGAAGTCGAGGGCGAGGGCGAGGACGACAGAGACGATTTAGCAGACTAGCCAGACCGTCCAGTCAGACCAGCCAGGTCAACCAACCAGACCAGCCAGGTTGATGGATTTAACAAACCAACCAGACCAGCCAGACGTTCGGACGAACGAAACACATACCAAACTAAGCAAACCAACCTGCAAGCAGACTAGCCAGACCAGCCAGCCAAACTAGCCAGGTAGACAAACTGGACCAGGCAGACGACCTAGCTGTAGAGACCAGCGAAGTCCATACCAAACTAAGCAAACCAACCTGCCTGGACCAAGCAGACCAGCCATTCAGACCGGCCAAGTAGACGCACCACACCAGCTTAAATCTTAAGCTGAAATCCAAGCCCCAAGCTTGAAGCTTGCTCTGTTGAAGCTTGTCGTCCCGCCGTGCGCTAGTCTGGTTGGTTTGGCTGGTCTGGTTGAGTCCCCTTTTTTCGTAGCTTTCGCCGTCTTGGTCGTCATTGTTTTTCTCGTCGCGCTCGCGATCTGACTCGTAGTGTTCATCCGTGGTCTGCCCTCTGTAAGCCTTCTGTTCTTTCTCCTGTCTCCCGATGGCAACTTCGTTGTCCACTCGGGTTATGTTCCATAGGTTCCCGAATCGATCCAAACCAGGCAACCAGACACCGTCCAGACCAACCAGACCAGATACAACAACAACTGTAACGCAAAACAAATGCAAAACAACACACGTTGCACATCTCAAGCGAGAGCTCAAACACGAAGCTCGAACTTGACCAACCAGACCTGTCAAACCAGATGTGCCAGGATCGTCCCGAACGGCCTCTAGAGGCCAAAGCTCACGCCCGCAAGCCAGATCATCACTTGTCCTCCACCTTTTCCTCCTCCTCCTCCTGCTCCACCCCGTCCTCCTCTACTCGTCCTGTTCGCCCCTGCGGCCCCGAGCATTCGCGCGCTGCCCAACGCTTCAGTGGGTCTCACGCGCACGACTTGCACTTCAGGGTGCCCCCCTGGCGCGCACGCTCGACATGCGGTCCAACGACGAACTGAGATTTCGGGAGATTCCTCTTGCAGGTGCCGAAGCACTCGCACGCTTGCCAACTGCATGCCGAAAGCCGAAGTCCACGCAGTCTGCGCATGAAACGTTACTCTTCCTCGTGACAATATCACTCTCCTGTCTGTCGCTTATGTGTTCTCCTGCCGCGGAAACTTCTCCTCGAACTCCGCGCGGGTCAATTATCGTTCAAGCCGTTCCGCCGCATAGGTCACTCCCTTCGCGGTGCTGCCACGCTTGATGCAGTCCCCACACACCACGCGCGCCTGCTTCGTTTTTTCGACGATTTCCAATTTGCCTCTTTTTCCAGATGCGCGCCACCGCGCGCGCGTCAAATCAGCTGAATACTCCTCCAACCAACAGTTTGTAATATGAAAAACATTTCCGCGCGCGCAATTCCTGACAATCGCCTTCATCAGCACAACCACATCACCGCTGACAACCACCGTCGTCTCCGACACATGGACATCATCATTGCCATTAACGTCACCAGCATGGGCCCCGTCTTCGGCAGTGGTGTCACCGGCACCGTCGCCACCACCACCGCGACTATCATCATCATCATCATCATCATCATCATCATCATCATCATCATCATCATCATCATCATCATCATCATCATCATCATCATCATCATCATCATCGTTGCCTCAATTTTCGACGTCAACATGGTACCGCACCCGCCGGAATCACCGACCAGCACTGACACGCCCGCGTGCCAGCGCGGCTTTTGAGACGCGCTTGAAGTCCTCATCGGTAAGCGCATCCGCGGCCGCGTCGGCTGTGCAGAACCAGCTGACAGCTATGCGCGCGAGAATACGCGCGGTAATCAGCCGCAGAGATGCGCCAGCTAGTGACAAATAGTCACCACAATCGTGGCCGAATGGGTTGTGCAAAACAAATTGCGGGTGGGAGGGTGGAGTGATTGCGCGGGCAGCGGGGCTGACGATACTAAGTCCTGCAAGGTGCGTTACGCCACACATAGTTTACATCCGCTATCGATCATCATATAGCTGACACCATTTCCCTTACACCACATCGCTTGCACCTCGTTTTGCACTGCGTGGATGGCACAGCACAGCGTGCACAGCATAACTTCTACCACATAGCTTGCATTCCATAGCTTACACCACCTAGCCTGCACCACGTACACATTGCATGGCACACAGCACAACTTGCACGCCATAGCTGGCACCTCGTACATTGTACCGCATAGCTTACATCACACAGCTTGCAACACATAGCTTGCACCACGCAGGTGCACCACGTAGAGTGCACCACATAGCTTGCGCCATGGAGCTTACACCACATGGTTGCACCACATAGCTGACACACTCACCGTGCAACCACTGACTGCGTTGGGTCCACCCAGGCCAACATTAGCTCTTGAATTGGTGCATGGCAAATATCTACGTTCTTGGAGTGTGTTGCTGATGTGAACTGGCCACTGGTGCCTGTCATTGGCGCGAAATTATGGTATCTGTCGTTGATGTGTCCTGCGGATGCGTGATTGTTTAATGTTTTTGGTGTATCCTCCGCTGGATGGTCTCGGCGGGCGCACTCGTTGTGCCGCGCTAGCTCGTGTTGTGGATGCCCTCAATTGGCGCGTGATCTTGGCGTGTAGTCGTGATGCTCGTTATTACCGTCCGTGCCTACTGTAAGGGCTTGATGTCTGGCGGTTGTGCATGTTCATGCGTTCGTGTCGGCGTGTCTGCATGTGTTGCCGGTGTGCCTGGCATGTCATTGCAACGCTGGCCGATGCGGTCGAGGTCTGCTGTTCATGCCCGCCATGGGTACGGATTCTTGCTCTTGTCGTTTTGTTTTATCACGTATGTGAACCATGTCGTTATTGCTGTGTGTCCTTGGCGTGTGTCCGACTGTGGTGTGGGTACCTGCGGACGGCGCAGCGCTGCGTCGCCGTGACGCCTCTCATGCTGTGATTGCTCGCTGTCCGTGGTGCGGTGTGCAGGGCCGGTGGGCGGGGTGCTCGGGCGTCTCGAGCAGGACCGGCGGGCGGGAGACTCGAGAGTCCTGGGGCCTGGCGGCCGACATCTGGCATGCTGGCGGGCGTTTTTCTTTTTACCCAACAGCCCCAACCTGTCGGTGGTGAAAGACCCCATATGTGTCCACAGCATGTCCCCGTCAGACCCCAGACTCTTCTCCCACGGGGCCCCGACATCCATCCAACGAACTCTACGATGACGATCCCGATCTGGCCCCAGCACCTGCGAACGACCCCCACCCATGTGGCCCCAATGCGTCTCCGCGAGACCCCCATCCGGACCCCATGGTGACCCAACCCCTCCCCAGGATCCCCTCTCTTGAGACTCCCATGTAGTCTTAGCTCGGGCATGGAAGAAATAGAAACATAGTCAAATCATGTTCAAACATATTCAAAACTGGTAAACCATCGTCCTCAGACTGTTTCAAATACTACTTCTGCATAACCTCCTGTAAAGGGACACGCCCGACAACAATGTGGTCCCAACAAGTCTCCGAAAAAGACTCCGTGAGAGGAGACCACCGCGCGCGCCCAGCAAGACGACCCCAGCGCTTCCAACGAAGAAGCGCGCAATGGGCACAGCCAACCCGTATCATAAGGATGCGGGGTACGGGCCCAAGGGCCTCGGAGGCCCACGTTACCGTTTTTCGAGCGAGGCTGGCCAGCGAAAGTCGCTGAGGATGGGCCGAACGGACAAGGATGCAAGAGTACCCCTGGGAAGGTTGCCCATCCTTGCGATGCGGGCTGACTGTGCCCGAACGCCCACCACACCGCCAGGGGAGAGACCTCCCACACCGACCGAGTCGACGCCCCTCCAGGGAACCCGAGGAGCTCATCGCCTCACCGCTCCTGCAAACAGGGGAGGACGTGACTGCTTTCAGAGGACCCCGGGGTGCGTTCGGCGGGCCCCCTTCTCCCACAGCAGGCGAGGAGGAGGAGGAAGAGGAGGAGGAAGAGGAGGAGGAAAAGGGCGAGGAGGAGACGAGGAGGAGGAGGAGGAGGAGGACGAGGAGGAGGAGGAGGAGGAGGAGGAGGAGGAGGAGGAGAAGAGAGGAGGAGGAAGGAGGAGGAGGAGGAGGAGAGGAGGAGGAGGAAGAGGAGGAGGAGGAGGAGGAGGAGGAGGAGGAGGGGAAGGGGACGCTCCGTTGGGGCCTTCGATGTCCCCTCGGAGCCCAGCCGCGTCGGAGCCAGCACGGTGGGCGGAGCATGGCGGGGCCGATGGGGGCAGCAGCCGCCTGGGACTCCGCAGAGGACAGATCGGACGGGGCGGAGGTCGGAGGAGGAGGAGGAGGAGGAGGAGGAGGAGGAGGAGGAGGAGGAGGAGGAGGAGGAGGGGGAGGCGGAGGGGGAGGGGGAGGAGGAGGAGGAGGAGGAGGAGGCGGAGGAGGAGGAAGAGGAAGGCGCCGAGTGGGGCCTGCGAGCATGGCTAGGACGGGTGCGAGAAGGAAGTGGAGCAATGGCTGGCGGCGCGGACCATGTCTCCTGCCGCTGCGGGACGGGATGGGCAAGGCGGAGCCTCGAGCGGCAACGCGCACAGTGGAGACAGAGCTGCCGTCCGTCAAGATCCTTGGCCAGCTTGAATTCGCATCATTTCGACTGGATTGATGGCTCATGATACTCTGCTTCAGCAGTAATCTGGATGTCGCGCGTTGTGGACGGGGCCGCCTGCCAGTGATGCCCACCTTCGCGACCCCGTCGAGATAAACGGGGGGCTGTCAGAGATGGGACCCGCCAAGATTGAGCGCATCAGGGGCATGCCCTGCGACTGCAACGAATGGCTTGACCCATCCCCCAGTCACCAACCGAGGTCCATCCAGCCGCCTACCCCAAATCCCGTATGAATCGTTTCCCGGGTCCGGTTTTTTAATGCGCCTTTTTTGTAACTGGGGGAATCTGGTTGATTAGGGCGCTTTCTGTGGATTGGAACTCAGGGGGTCGGTATATGAAGGCGCCCCGTCGAATAGGGGGGTCCAGAATATTAGGTCGCATTTGGAGGGGGGTCTAGTCTTTTCGGGGGGGGCGATTCATAATGGATTGAGTAGAGCATGCCTACAAGTGCCCGAAAGACCTGGGCAAAAGAGCCCATCCGATATGGGCTGGAGCCAGGTCTGGAGAGGAGAGAGCCGGGCCACGCAGGCAAGCACACCAGCGCACGCCTGGAGCGGTACAGAACACGGTTCACACCTGATGGGGCAGCGCAACATGCCAGGAGGCGGCATCTCATCTCCAGCTTCCGCAGTGGGGCTTCCCCCAGAGGACCTGCGACGATGCAGACGGGCTGGAGAGGAAGCCCGGGGTTGGAGAGGTGCGGGACACTGGCGAGCGGGGTCCTGTGGGGCGGAGGTCCTGATGCATTCGCGAGAGGCGGAGGCAGTCTCGTCGGACAACTTCCAACGTGGGGGCCAATTCCCGAGCTTCCGGGCCAGGCTGGCGACGAGCTCAGAGACGCTCGCGACTCTGAGAACAGCGGGCAGGCGCCTGACTCGGAGGATCCTCGACCTGACCCGGAAGACATGCCGCAGGGAGCCCCAAGGAGCAACGGGCCCTTGGATGCCAGAGCATAACTAACCAGTGGAACAACTGGAAGAAGAGCTCTGGGGGGAGTCTGCAAGGGCAGAGGAGCTCCATGAGGCGCTCCTGAGAGAGGCTGGGGAACGCCGGCCCGTTGTCGGAGGAGAGGAGGACGGGGCACCTGACCGACGCCACTGGGTGGGCAGTCGAGAGCCGGCCGAACCCGTCAAGCTCGAGAACGCTGCACCCGAGGTTCCTGCCCACCACGGAGCCTCTGTGATACTCAAGAACGACATTCTGGATGTGAAGGGTTTGAGGGGCCTTTTCTGGGCGCTCGCGAGGACCCTGGCGCCCGCATCCCGTAGGCTCCACACTCTGACGCTGTCCGCCGCGCGCGAGCACGTTCCCGACTCTGAGTTTGATTCGTCCGCGCCTGTGGCGAAAAACGCCTGCAACGTGAAGGGGCGCCCTCGCAGTCCGAGAACAAGCGCGTGCGGGAGGCGAGCCGCCCAAAGCTGATGGGATCGTCCGAAGGTGCCGCGACGTCGCCTCGGGCGGCGCCGTTGCTTCGCTGACGAGCCGCGCGATCTCCGGGCGAGTGAGCTTCATGGACGTACTGCCTGCGGCCTTCGTAGGAGGTCTCGACAGGGCCATCGCCAGGGTGCGCCTTGATCTTCGCGGCGTTGGTCCGGCTAGCTCTAAAAATACTTCTCTCCCGACCGGCCATCCATGTTCGACTGGGGAACGAGCCTGGAAGAGCCCGCCGCATCCTCTTGAGTGCAACGGGCGCTTTGACTTGCTGAGAGTTTTTGACCTGTCAGGCGGCACCTGCGCGGGGCGGAGCCTCGAACTTCCGCGTCGAGCGCTCGTGGCACTGGCCCTTCGTCGTTCTGCCCGAGGTCGGCAAGCGCTTTTGTCCGAGCCTCCCGGCAGCCGCGCCTGCGTGCAGCACCCCGAGCCCGATTCGGCGAAGCGACGTGCTGGGAGGGGCGAGGCTGTGCGGATGTGGAGCTCAAATTCCTGGAAGACGAGCGCTCGCGGAGGAGCGGGGAGAGCGAGGGGCGCGCGGCAGCCGGGCCCCACACCTTCGACGCCACAGCCACAACGATGGGGGAGCCCTTGCCACGATCCAAGGAAACGGTTGCAGGGGCAGGAGCCTTCAGCAAGTTGAGCCTCCTGAAGGCTGCCACGGAGAAGACGAAACTGCTCCTGAATGAGTGCGATCTGAAAGGTGGGCGTGTCGACCTCCTGGCTGCATTACTGGACGCGGGCGTCAAGGGAACCGATCTGGGATTGGCAACATCGATGAAGACCGCTGGACTGAGGTCGGATGATGGCCATGACGTCCGGCTAGAAAGACCTGGGTCTGTCAGGAATCAGCTGCCAGACGAAATCGAGCTTAGCGAATATCTCATCATTTGAGGACGGGACAGATTGATCGACCTTGTCTTTTGACGATATTGGAAAGTTCAAGCCGCAGCAACTCGAACTGGGTAGCAACATCAGCGGAGACAAGACTGCCGAGGCACTCAGAAGAGGAGGCGACCTGACCACCAGCGCGAGCAGGAGGAGGAGGAGACCAGTCACCTCCAGGAGCACCACTAGCGGCGTGCGGGCCCTTGCCGTTGGGCGTAAGGGCCTGTCACTTGCTGAGGTACCTCTGGTCAGGCTGTCCAGATACATCAGCTGCACATTCTGGGAACGTGGGCGCCTCCTCCAAGGCTGCAGCAAGACGCCTCTTTTCCTCATCAGATCCCATCTGCATATCCCGGCGCCAGCGTTAAATGCAGAGGCAACCCCAGGAGAGCCCATTGCGCTGAGCAGAACGAAGACGGGCAACTTCACCGTCTTCCCGCGCAGCTCAACGCGAGAAAGGATGGAGACCTACGTCGGCTTGGCAACTCGACGCGACGATCGTGTTTGTCAGGAGCCTTGTGGTCTGGCCGCGGTAATGGTATCTACTTGTTCCCCTGTGGAACTTGTTGTTTTGAGTCCAGATGGCTACGGAAAAGAAGAGGAGGAGGAAGAGGAGGAACGCACGTACCCCCAGGAGGAAGAGAAGGAGGTGAGAAGGAGGTGGATCTCCCCTCTTGTTTCACCACTCTACCCCCCGGAGGTTCGTCCACGTGTTCTTCTTTTCCGACATCCTCGCCCGCCTGCAGTCCTACGACCGCATCATGCTCGGCACCCTCCTGCCCCCCCCCTTCCCCATAAACTTCCCTTCTGTTTCTGACCGTCGAAGTTTCCTTCGGCCGCAAAGTCGAGGGTTGGAGGCATGCGATTGCGAGACCACCGCCTTAAGTTAAGACGTCGCGCTAAAGACGTCGCGCCTAATACACCTTCAAAGAGTTGCTTTCGCACGCGTCGCCCGTGAAACCGTAAGGGGACGCAACGGCGAAACCGAGTCACCGGTCGCCGTGGAAAAGCGGTCCGTGCCGGAGCCACCGGGTCTCCGAGGACGGAGTGCAATGCAGGAGAAGATCGGGAGGGAGAGGAACGGGGAGCGAAAGGTGCGGAGATTGGGAGGGAATGGGGGAAGGGGAAGAGGACTGAGCTCGACGTAGGATGAGGGGGGAGGGGGGGGGAAAGTGTGGAGGAGAGGCGGCCCCCAGAGCTCCCGCAAAGGGGGGGGGCCCAGGTGGTGCGAGCTCCTGCCAAGCCCGACCTGCCGACCTCTTCGCGCGCGCCCGATCACAGCCAGCTCACACTGATCGGCGAGGCGATGACAATAGAGAGCGGCCGAAAGGGGGGGATCGCAGAGCGGGGTTCGCGAATCAGGTTGCATTTCCCAGGCCCTGAGTCGGCCATGCGTCGAGGAATGCGCCTGGCGGCGGGGCTGGAGCCAGCTAAGTGCAGCAGATGTCGTACCCTCACCTTTTGCAATCCCCCCTCTCTGTCAAACCCGAGAGACCATGGCAGACTGACTATATCAAACATATGCGCAAGAGGCCAGGAGATGCCGATGAACAACTCGGTCGAGCAAGCGCAAATTCACTTGCCATCCTTGACCTTGCCACCCTTAGGCTTGTCGGTTCCCTCCGAAGGCTGCGCCTCCTTCTTGACCTCTGCCTGTTGGGGCACCCGCTCTGGGGACAACGCTACTGAGGACGATGCCCAACGGCAAATGCCCCCGAGATAAGCACCAACTCCTCGTGGGAAGAAAACGCTCGCAACTAACCGTGCAATGATTCGCACGATGATCCAGGATGTTCCTCAATGATCCTCGCCAAGAAAAAAACTCACGTCCGAGCGATGCCGAGGTTCCTTCATGCTGAAGTAGACGGACCGAGCTCGCCTCAGCGCCCCTCCAACGGGGACTCCCCACTAACGGTTACTTTAGCCAGTGACCCGGCGAGCCCAACCCTCCCCGATGTGGGCAACGCTGCAATGCCAGAAAGAGGCCCTAGAGTTGGAAATTTAGGCAATTTTCCAAGGCACCCGTTAGTGAGTACCCCTTGTACGGTGCCGCTGGACACACTCTCTCTCTCTCCCTCTCTCTCGCTGGCGCTTCAGGGCGGTCGGGAGCGGCCGCGGCCGCGCGCGGCCGCGGCAGCCACGGCCAAAACAGCATGCCAAGATATCCCCCGACGTCTGTGGGCCTCCCTCCGTTCCCCTCCTCCTCCTCCTCCTCCTCCTCCTCCTCCTCCTCCTCCTCCTCCTCCTCGTCCCCTCCTCCTCCCTGTCCCTTCCTCCTCCTCCTCCTCCTCCTCCTCCTCCTCCTCCTCCTCCTCCTGTTACCCGTGACGGTGCCGCGGAGTCGCCCCGAGCCGGCAGCGGGCCGGGCTCCCCGAGAGAGCGAGCAGCAGCAGCCGCTGCTGGCCCTCGCCCCCCCCCCGCTGGTAGAGCCCGGCAGGCGCCGGCCCCTCCGCCAGCCCCGGGCGCGCCCCCGAGGGTCTTTCTTTGACCCAAGAGGGGGTCCAGCTTCATGTTGCTCCCATCGCACTTTATGTTGACCCAAAAGCAGATTAGGACGAGGAGGCTGGAGGAGGGGGAAGTTGAGGAGGAGGAGGAGGAGGAGGAGGAGGAGGAGGAGGCGGATCAGAAGCAGCGGCGGGGGCAGGCTGCAGGGACGGCAGCGGGGGGGCAGGCTGCAGGAGCAGGGACAAGGCGGAGCGGGAGCAGGAATAATGGGGGTCGGAATCCCATCTTGCTTCATGTTGTCCCCATCGTCCTTAAGGACCACATCCCAGAAATAATTTCGAGCACCCAGGCAAGCATCGAAAAGCAGTGTCGAACGGGTATCGCCTCCCGGGGCCCGACACGTGAAAACTCTCCAGTTTCGGTACTTTCCTGGTGCTCGGGAATCTTTCGGGTGATCAAGGCTACAGTAGGTGGGAACATCCTAAGTCCAGCTGGAAGGGGGTGGTGCAATAGGTTTGGGGTGTGTGTGTGTGTATTGCATATGTACTGCGCCAGGAAATTGTACTGCAATGTGTGTTGCAGCTGACGTGTCAGTTGCGCACCGGAACGTTTTGCACGCCCGAGATGTACTGCAGTCCTACAAGTCTGTGGGACGCACAGAGACATATTAGTACTATATGTATTCCTTGGAGGCGCGCGTCCGACCCGAACATATAGTATACCCATCTTGTAGTATATCGTTTCCCGAGCGTGTGGTCAGAAAGCGCCCGCTTCGACGCATATACTATAAGATTTCTCGGTGCGCGCGTCGCCCCTGGGGGGGCGACGCACATATAGTAGAAGTATGTTGGGGTGACGCCGAGTCTAATGCACCAAAGCTATTGTAACGCCCCCTTGGCGCTGGACCCCCACTTGGGTCAACCAAGAGGGCCCCTAGCGCGCGTGCGGCCCCTCGGCCAACGGTCGGGCGTCCACTCCCCGTGCCTTTCTCCGGACTTCGCGCGTGCTTCCCAGACCCCCGACGTCGTGACTTTTTCACAGCGTCGACCCCCAGAGGCCAGGGCCCCTTCCCCAGGACCGGTTTTGCATCCAGAGCAGCCTTTTGACAGTCCCGGGGCCCAGCGAGGGCCGCCAGAGGGCGAAAATAACGAAAAACCTCGCGTCATGATCTTTGTCACAACGCGAGGCGGTCTGGTTTTTTTTTGTTATTTTTTTTCCGAGGCGGTCTGGGTTTCTTGGCTCGCTGATCCAGGGTGCTCCTCGATGGCCCTCGCCGAGAAAGAGGGTGCACCTCTGAGCGATGCCACGCTCCCGAGGGCCCCGTCGCGCGTCCGCCCCCGCGGCCAACGGCCCCTCGGCCCACGACGGCAGCCTGCAGCCGCAAGGAGGGGTGCCAGCGTGCCTCCGCAACCATGACCTCCATACCCAGAGCTCCTCGAGTAATAACAAAAATCATGACGGGAGGTTTTGTTTTGGCCATTTTCGGCATCGGGGGGCCCTCGCCGGGCCTCGGGAGCGTCAAAAAACGACTCAGGATGAGAAACTGGTCCCTTGGAATTGATCGAGACCTCTGGGGGTCGGCGTGATGAAAATATCATGACGTCAGGGGTCTGGGAACGTCGACCCCCAGAGGTCTGGACCCTTTCCCCGGGACCGGCTTTTCATCCCGAGTCGATATTTGACGCTCCCGAGGCCCGGCAAGGGGCCCAGGAGGCCGAAAAAAGCGAAAACCTCCCCGTCGCGATTTTGAAGGCGCCAGATGCCAACATCCACCCTCCTTGGCGCCCTCCTTTCGCTCCGCATGAAGAGAACCGGGTCCGGGTCCTGTGTTCTTGCCGCCGCTTTCTAGCCCCTGGAGTCCGAAAGCGAAGAAACAAGCGAAGAACAACTACTCAAAATGACGAACTGGCCCTGGGGAAGCGGCTAGGAGAACTGTTTCCCTCGGGACCTCTCCCCAGACCCCCTCGCGTTGTGACAAACATCACGACGGGAGGTTTTTGTTGCCACTTTCGGCCTCCGGTGGCCCTCGCCGGGCCCCGAGACCGTCAGGAAACGACTCGGGACGAGGAACAGGTCCGTGGGAGGGGGCCCCGATCTCCGGGGCTCGACGTTTTGAACAAAAAATCTCAACGTCGAGGGTGTTGGTCTCCGTCCTGGCCGCCCCCGCGCCCTCTTCTGACTACCTACCAGACCACCCCAACCCAACCCGAAGACCCGAATTTCGGGTTGGGGGGGGTAAGGGTTCCACACGTGTTTTTTCAGTGTTTCCCGCCCCCCCCCCACTGGAAATCGAGGGTAAATCTGAGCCTTCGGGTTGGGTTGGGGTGGTTTGGTGGGTGGTGATCTTCTTGGCGCCCCCCCTCGTTGCCAGCGGAGTGCCGCTGGCCATCGTCCCCGCTGCTTTCACCCCCGTTGCGGCCCACTCGAGCCTTGTCCGGAGCGGGCCTCGCGGCCGGTCCGCCTCCGGCAGCCGTCGGGGACTCCTCCTGAGCTTCGTCGAAACACTCGAGCTCCGACGGGTCGCCGAGAGGGACTCCCAGGATATCCGCTTCCTCCTGGGGAGACAGATTGGGACTGGGACACGAAAAAGATAGTGGGTGCAATACTCGGAAAGGAGATCCAGGAGGGAAGGAAGGGAGGACGACGGAGAGGGAAGGTGCCGGAAGGATGAATGGACAGAAGCGATGTCGACAAATCGATACAATGAGAAGGCAGGACGTAATACGAAGGAGTGAGGACGAGGATGGGAGGGGAGATGGGTTCAGGAGGAAGCAAACAGGAAAGAGCAGGGCGAGGAGGAAAAAGGCGAGGAATGAGGATATGAAGCGAGATGGGGCGACAAGAGGACGATGGGGGGAACTATCGCCTTCACGTCCTCTTCGTTCGGGAAGCAGTCCTCGCCCGGCGCCAGCGGCGGGTCAATCCCACGCCCTGCGATGCCCCCGAAGAGCGCCTGGTTAACCGCCATTCCCCATGCCAGATGATCAGCGGGTGAGTGGAGTGAGAGTACGTGGAGGAAGTGCTGGTAGGGGAGGAAGCGGAGGTGGAGCAAGATGAAAAGGCGAGGATAATGAGGAAATGGGGTGGAGACGAGGAGGTGGAGGATGCGCCTCGGGACCCGCACCTTCACCCAGCGAGAAGAAGGCATGCGCCTTCACCTCCTCCCAGCTCGTGGCGCTGGAACCCAGCCGCTCCCAAGGCTGCTTGCACAGCAGCCCAGAGATCAAACGCCTGCCCTCAGCGTCCTTGTACCACTCTGGGAACACCAGCTCCTCGCGGAGGAGGCGGACCCAGACATGCGACGTCCTGATGTTTTCAGGACGGCGTCCCCGGTCATCCCCACCCTTTCGTCGGGGCCGGCTTTTCATCCTGAAACGTTTTTCCCGGCCATCCTGTGGTGTTGGGTCCTCGTTTTGAAGAGACGGTCCCCGCGTCCTCCCTCCTTTTCCTCCTCCCCCTCCCTCCTCCTCTCACCCGTCATCATCACCCGCATCGTCATCATCATCGCCGTCATCAGCACCATCACCCCTCACACGTTTCGTGGCCCTATACAGAGCTCCACCGAAGGCCCAACTGCTGCCGGCCGCATGCGTCCGGCACGCCAAATTCGGCACACCCCTCACACTCTTCGTGGCCCCATAAGGAGCTCCACTTAAGGCCCCAGTGCTGCCGGCCGCATGCGTCCCGCACATCCATTTTGGCACACCCTTCACACGCTTCGTGGCCCCATAGGGAGCTGGTGGCCCCGACAGCTTCCCTAAGGCCGATTTCTTCGTCGTCGTCGTCGTCCGTCGTCGTCCGTCGTCGACGTCCGACCTGCGCGCGTCGCGGGGGCTCCGCGTAGCGCAGCGCCCGCAGCCTTGAACTTTGGAGTGCGCGGGCAAAGAAAAAGGAGAAGAAGGGGAGGAAACGGGCGCGATCCTCGTGTGGGGCGTGCCGACATGGGCGTCGCGGCGCGCGGGCGCTGCCGTCGGGGTTCCCAGGAAAACTCCTGGCGGAGGCTACGCTCAGTGTCACGAGTTCTCAGGGTCAGGCAGACCCAAACCATTCACAGTCGTATGCATTTGCACTAGGCGACTCCATGCTCGCAGTCAGGCCATCGCGCGCATTTTCATTCAGAGTCAGACTCACTCGCGCTTAGACTCGCCCGCGCTCAGGCTTTCATACTCAGATCAATATTTGTTCGTTCGTGCTGTGTACCCTACCACAAAATTCGGCACACCCCTCATACGGTTCGTGAGCCCATAGGGAGCGCCACCGAAGAATGTATTCACACTTGCGGTATTCACAACTGCGTATGGCTGGGTCCTTCGCCAGGCTAACGTGACGGTCCCGAGGCCCGGCGAGGGTCCCGGGGGCCGAACACAGCAAAAACCTCCCGCCATGATTTTTTTTTCGACGCGACCATGTCTGGGGGGGGAAGTCTTGCTGGGCCGCGCGGCCCCTGTCCGCTGGAGGCCGAAGGGCCGACGCCGACGGGCCCCGTGAGGCGATCCGGGGGCCTGGGCGGCCCGAGAGGGCCGGGGAGGACGGGCGCGAGGAGGCGGCGGAGGACGACGGCGAGCTCCTCGCTGAGGATCTGCTCCAGGATCAGCTTGTCCTCCGTCTCGCCGTGGCCAAAGGGGTCCCGGCCCACCGACAGCTGGAACGCCAGCACGCCCAGGGCCCAGAAGTCTGCCTCCATGCCGTACCCGCGCCCGCGGATCGCCTCGGGGCTGATGTACACCACGGTGCCCGTGATGGTGTAGGTCCTGGCCAGCGGGAGGAGAGGGAGAAATTGCCGGTAGTGCTTCCGACGCGTGTTGGTCAGCTTGCG